ATTTCATTCAATCAATAGGGAACCTGTGTGTCCATGTATGTTGTAATTTTTAAAATATTGTGTTAAAAATCACCAGATTGTCTTGTTAGCCAAGCAGTAATTCTTCTTTCAGCATCTCTTTAAAATCTCAAAGTGAATGAATTGATACACTTTGAGGCCTAAGTATGTCATGGAAACTAGAGTTGACTGTGTGCTTAAAGATTATTTGATGATTATAGAGATAGATATGATTATTCCTACACTGCTCAGAATGGCATTGTGACCCAAAACAGAGAATGCAGTCAGGACTTATGAAGGCATTGTGGAGAGCAAGACTTGGTTATCATTATATTCAAAATTTTAGTCTCTTATAGAATTCTAATCTTCAAGTCAGACCTTTGCATTGCCCATTATTCAGGTAAGTCCAGCTAAATAAAGTAGTCTTGACAAAATTATTTGAAAAACTATACTAGAGAGTCCTTTAATTTTGCTTGAGCAGATAAGGTAATTGGGGTACAGTTTAGAGACATTAAAATTTGTCACTTAAAAAAATGTGCAGTCTTTGCAACTAAATTCTTTTCTGTAATGCCCATGAAGCCAGCAAGTTTATAATCTGTCAGAACTGAGTGTACTGTTTCAATACTCTACAATAGCAAGTAACAGTTTAGAAGTCAAGCATTGGCAATAAAATTATCTAGTTCCCAAATGAATACCTAAATTAACCCAAAACAGTAGTTATCATAATTGTGCTTAATGGGATGCCTGGATAGCTCATTTGGTTAAGCACCTGTCTTCAGTTCAGGTCACGATCCCAGAGTTCAGGCTCCCTGTTCAGTGGGAAGTCTGCTTCTCCCTCTGCCTCTTACCCTGCTCATACTCTCTCTCTCTTTCAAAAGTCTTCAAAAAAATCACTGTGCTTAATAGTGAGTGCATTTGAAAGACAAGCTTGCAATTATGAAGATACAAAAAAATATTCTCTGAGTCACTAGATAATTTTCGACCAATCTCAGTGAACTAAGATTACTATTAGTTTATAGGCTATTTTCTATTGATTATATTTGCTTTGGCTAGATCATAAAAATGCACATCTCTGTGGTAGAAACCATATTTATTCTTTTAATTTGTTTCAACCCATCTAATTATTTTATAGCCTTTGCTTTCTCCCTATCAGTGAATACTGATAGACTAAATGTGCTATATACATGGAATGGCTTGCTTTTTTTTACTAGTTCAGCATCAACTAGGTGAGAAACACAGATCATTTGTGCTGATAAATTTTGAGAGGTTTTGCTATTACCTTTTTTACAAAGTATGTGAAATCTGTCTTGGAGTAAGATACATGACCTCAAAGATTGTTAAGGATTGATTGGTATAAGGACTGTGGCACATTTTCAATCTAAGAGTTTCATTTTTAGAGTGCTCTAAGCATCTTTATAGTTGTTGTTAGAGACATCTATGAATATCAGTATTGTCAATTTCCTACTTTTAATATGATAATATTTTCTACTTTTAATATTGGCAATTTCCATATTCCCTGGAGTCCATGTCATGGAATGTGAACTTTATAGATGAAAAGAAAATTTAACTGCCAATGTAATATTCAATCCTCTGAAGTGACTAGCAGGTTGAGTTATATCATGTTAAGAATAGATGAGTATATATATATATATATATATTTAAATGGGATGTATAGTGTGAAAGATATACCTATCTTTCTCTTAAAATCACAGCAATGTCAGTCATACAGAGTGCTAACGTAGTTAACAACTTTCTTCTGTTAAATATGTTGGCTTACTTTTTCACATTTTCTTTCTAAAATTTCCATGGTCTTCTGTAAGATCCTGGGAATTCATAAGCCCATTGTATTCATATTTTAGGGATAAATAGATTTTAAAGCACTTATAGTTCGAAATTAAGGTAAATGTTATTAGAATATATCCATAGAATAAGAGTTAATTATAGAATAAGATAAGTAGTCATACAATCTTTAAACACAGCAACTGGGAGTAGGTTGGTTCTGCAGGTGAGTAACTGTCATGAAGAAAAATGTGGAAAGGTTAGAGATAAAGATCCTTGGCTTTCTTGCTTCTACAGTTTCTTCTGGAATCTATTTTAAGTAGTAAAAAAAAGTTCTAGATCCCCACAATAGTTAAGCTTCAATTCTAATGTTTGGGGAAGAAAGAAGTATGTCATATACATGCTAAGGTATAGGGTTTCCTAAAAATTCATATGCTATGGAACCATAAATTTCAATGACATAACACTAAGAAAAATTGCAATAAACTGCATACAAAAGTTACAAACTTTCCAATGTGGTCATTTCAAAGCATTTCTGTATGTTTTGTATGAATGTCTGTATTAGAATTCCAACTTGCATGTGGGTAATTAGTGATATGTACACATTTGTATTTTCTCACAATGAATAGTTTTTAGTTGGTTTAATGTGCAATATTAGGGTTTGACCTAGGGCTTATTCAAACAACTACTACCTTGAGATGCTAATTGCAATGTAATTTTCCAGTTTTAAACAATCTTCATTGTTCAAGTGTTCGTTTGAGGGGATGCATTCCTTTAAACATTTTGGTTTCAGCCATACAAATACTATCATTGTTGCCATATGAATCACAACCATCACAGTATTTCCTTAGTATAGTAAGACAATAATAAACATATATACCTCAGCAAAGTATAATACTTTTAAGGTAAGGATTTTTACCATACCAATGTTCCTGCTGACAAATTGTCTTATGGCTAGTATTTTTACATTCCAAGTCTCAGGTATAAAAGAGACATTTTTTAACATTCTCAAATATGAAAATGAGCAATATCTGTGAATTTCTTGTGGGGGAATAAGTCCATTACATTTCTGTTTGCTCCTGGCAAGAATTCACTTAATTGAAACAATGATGGAGGACTTTTGAAATAAGATGTGTAAAGTACAGAAAAATGTATTCAAGTATTTCAGAGACATATTGAGACAATATAGTTTATCATAACTTCAAACCACCCAGCTTATCCTCAGGAAACACAAACACACATCTTGCTCTAATCTATCTTTAGTACAAGAATACATTTTCATGGTTTTGATTCATACACACCAAGTGAAGTAGACTTTGTCCAACTTTTGGGCTCACAGTCCTCAAAATAAGTAAAAAGGAACAATTTCTTCCATTTGTGACATTTTCATTTAATACTGAACATGATTTTTTCCCTAGTAGTATTTTAATTTTTTATAAAGGAGAACAGTTTGCTCCTTCACTAGCAAAAAATGCTGAATAATTCTTTTTTCAAAAGTTATTTTTAAAAACTATAATTGGATGGACCAAAATTCAGTAACATTGAGAAACTTTTAACTTTAAATGGCAGTTCTTGCTTTTAGTTCGAGAATGATTAAAGTTCAGAAAATAATACCATATGATTCAAAGACTGGCTTATATTTTCCTCTTAAATCTGAGTTGTTTTCTTAATGTTTAAACCTTTCTTTGTCAATCATTTGGCACATTGAGTTTCCATTTAGCAAATCTGACCAATAATTAAACTTACTAAAACGCATTCTAGAGCTTTTCAAAAATACAACAATAATGACAAAAATAATGCAAAATTTGCAAAACTGAAAAAGAATCAGAGTCTGGTTTAATTTCACCAAGAACTCTATCATCTATTTGTATTTAATCACACTGCAAGGAATGAGCCATTGCAGTTAAAATAATTCCATTGGGGTTGCTGATAAATTTTAAGTAAAAATTTTATTTAAAATTATTCACAACCAGTGAATGGCACAGATATTGAAATCACTAATTCAGAAATATAAAAACAATCCATCCTTACTTTATAGAAATGACTTAATTATATAGGTTAGAATTAAAATATTCCCTTGTTACATTGGGAGCTAAGAGTTTGAACCCATATAACTTTGATGGGAAAACTTTTATTAAAAAAATCTTTCATAAATCCAGTTTTGTTTTAATTAAATTCATTTTTATCAAAATGTATATACTATAATCCCATTGAATTTTAAAGTCTCATTCTAAGCTAAAATATAAAAATCGTACTGAACTTTGTTCAGTTATATCAAAACATTAAACATAATTACGTACAGACAATTAAGCAGCTATTAAAAATCTAGCAAAACAAGGGTGCTGGCTTGCATTTTGCAGTGTTTGGCAATAATTCAAAATATGCAGCTTTAACACTTATTTAAAAACAATGCTGTTGTTTTCAGTACTTCCATCTTCATTCATAGAGATATAAAGTTACGAAAGTAGATTTTGTGTATAATAGGATCTCTTAAACCATTTGTTTTAAATTTCCGAAGAGAGAAATTTGGTATTCTAAACAATTAAATTTAGTTTGTAAATACTAAAATTTTTTAATTTTAATTTTTTTGGTAGTACATAAGTTTTAATTCTATAATTTGAATTTTTTTGGAATTACATAAGTTTATTTATAGTATTTGTATGTACAATCCTTTATTACTGAGTTTTCTACTGAATTAATTGATTATTTTTCTATTTTGTAGGTACAGCATAAGAAAATATTTTAAAACCTCAAGCTAGTGATTTTTAAAATCTTCAACCTTCCCACTTTTCTCCATTTATAAAGTTAATTGTGCAAATTTTACTTTTGTAAGATTTAATGTTATTGAACTGAAAACCAAAGATTTTCAAAGTAGTCTTCACATGTACTATTATGTGATATTATATAACAACACAAACACGTTGGCAATAATATTTCCACTTACATGATATACTATGAAAGGACAGATAATCTTAAATTAATAGGAAATAGAATCCTCATAATACATATTTTTGTATTCAGTAAAAGACTCTTAATCTACCTTGTGATTCTGCATAGCAAATCATAGTACCTTCCGATACACCATTTTAATAGGATGGTCATCATTTGTATGCCACACTCACACGCACACACACACACACACACACACACACACACACACACACACCTATGGCAAAGAAACTTTCTTTTGAATTGCTTATTTGCACTTGCGTGCCCCTAGAGGCTTAATCTTGTTGCTGATGAATATCCTCATGTCTAAGAATTTTATAGATAACCCAGTAGAAAATATTAAAAATCAAAAAGGCTAATGGGAAACAGGCTCGAGAGATGGTGTCAATCTTCTTGGCTCTGTCGATAAAAGCCTTCCTCATTTCATCAGGGCTTTTCGGCATTACCTGGACAGGATGATTTGGGCCCTTTGGGGTCACACCATCTTTTGCTTGCAGACAGGGTCCCATTCCATAGGCTGTGAAGCTGAATCGACTTTCCCTTACCTCATCATCCTAAGAAAAACATGAGAAAATACTTTAGTCATAGAATAGCTCACGTATTTCAGAATCATAACTTAAACTTTATCGTGATAAACGTTACCATTATTGTATTGGAAAGATAACTGAAGCATATAAAGATTGAGTTGCTTTTTTTTCCCCATTGAAGTTTTACTGATTTATCCTGCTCTATCATATTAGTGTGTCCATTAAGAAATCTGAAGCTCTCAAATAATATGTTTTGTTGGAAAAGCAGAACATTTTGGTATTGTCTACATATTGCTAGAACATCAAAATAAATTCAACGAGAAAAAGAATCTATTGGGATATTTTATATTTTCATAGACTAGTTTTTTTTATGTGTTTAAATGTATAAATATATGTTGTCAAAGGGGACAATATCTTTTTTTTAATTTTTTTTAATTTTTATTTATTTATGATAGTCACAGAGAGAGAGAGAGAGAGGCAGAGACATAGGCAGAGGGAGAAGCAGGCTCCATGCACCTGGAGCCTGATGTGGGATTCGATCCCGGGTCTCCAGGATCGCGCCCTGGGCCAAAGGCAGGCGCCAAACCGCTGCGCCACCCAGGGATCCCCCAAAGGGGACAATATCAAGATCATTGACTGGATTTTTCTTTTTCATAGCGGCAAATTTTAATGTTTATTTCCTATGATTTTAATGTTACTTCATTGGAAAATACAGTCTAGCTCAAGAACACTGCCTGGTTTTTGTTATCCTCACTTAATAATACTTCTCTGTTTTACAGTAACCCATTTAAAAGACTATAAGGTAGTCACACATTCTAGTTTACATGCAATTACTTTTCAGGTACATTGAGTTGAAATTATGAATGAAATTCGGCAGGAATTTATTTCAAGTTAAAGAAAATTGTTTAACCTATTATGTTCTGAAAAGGTATTGTTACTTTTCTCTTAAAGGTTACAAATTAAAGAATCCTCCAGATATGCATTATATGTACATGAAAAGAAAACCAAAATTTAAAAGAAAAATCATTTAATAAAAATATGATAAATGAAATGTGTTCATTAGAGGAAAATATGGTATTTAGAAATTTATGAAATTCATTAATGAGCAATTTAATTTAATGCACTTATTTAGAATGTAACAGTAGATGATTGCCAATTAATTGGATTGTTTTGCTCCCAAAACTGAAAGTTTAAAAGATGACATTTTATAAAGTTGTTAGAGCTCTCCTTTATGTAAGTAATTTTTAATGGTAATATAGGAGACAAAAGGAATTGACTCAAACTCTTGAAAAATAATTCTGGGTCTGTGAAAGTAGAGGCTCAATAAACAGTATATTGCAAAATACGAAAATGAGAAATGGAAATTAAAATGGGTTCTAAACATGAAAAGATGATCAAAGTTGATGTAATAATGTGTAAAATAGTTTTTTGGGGGAATTATAGAGTAAGGCAATTTCACATGACACACAAAAACAAATAACTATTGGAAAATAGCTTACCTGCATAAGCAATTGAATTTTGAGGAAACAAGTCTGAAATAAAAGCTGATGATCCTAATTACATAACTACTATTGTAATCTTATAAAAGTTGGAAATTGATTTTTCAGTACTCTTTAATAAGGATGTTGATTTATACTGGCAATTTTTTTATCTACCATGGAAATTTTAAAGCTAAATTATTGTTTGCCTTGAATTTTCTATTCTTGGGGAAAAGTGTATATACAAGAAATTAAACTTTTTATGTAAGTGCTAAAGTAGCATCCTTATGGTTTAGAAAATCATGCTGGTGCTTATATTCCAGAAAGAAAGTGTAGTTTGTTTGGATAATTTGTATAATTTTTGTGTGTAAATCAGCTGAATGCTAAAGTACAAAATAATTTCTTAACTTATATAGACCCATGGGTTGAAAAAAATCCATCTCAAAATGTAAAAAAAGTAATTTCTCAGTGAACATTTACAATGAAGGCTGCTTGTTATTTGAGGTAATGAATAGATAAATTACAAAAATACTAGAATTTTAGGATTCTAGCTGCTGTGTTTAATAAAGTAGAATCTACTTTGTTTTGCCCTCTGGTTTTACTAAGAAACAATTGACATATATCACTGTGTAAGTGTAAAGTATACAGCATGATGGTTTGATTTACATATATGGTGAAATGATTATCACAATAGGTTTAGTTAATACCTATCATCTCATATAGATACAAGAAAAAAGGAAAAAAATCTCTTGTGATGAAAACTCTTAGGAACTACTCTCCTCCCAACTTTTCTGTAGATCATGTACCAGTCATAGCTCTAGAGGTCATGTACGTTACAGTCCTAGTATTTATCCTATAACTGGACGTTTGTATTTTTTAACCCCCTACCCCCACTGACTACCTTTCTAACTATTCAGAAGAACTTATTTTCAAACCTTTGGAGACACCCCCTCCCCCCCACCGTTGCTCATCTCAAAAAAATCTTTTTAAGATTTAAGATATTCAGTGAGCACCTACGTTATTTTCAACTGCATCTTTCCACATAACTGCGAGTAGAGGGTTAACATCAGGTCTGGGCTGATGAATGGCTGCTGATCCTTTCAGCATCATTTCCTTGAAAACAATAGTTAAGCTAAATGGGGAACGTGGAATTTGCTACATTTACAGCACAGGGGTTGCTGTGTGGGGCCTGAAGGCCTCTGGCCTACGTGACCAGAATGTATACAAGCTTGGTAAGAAATCAAGGCTGTGGCTTTTCTGTGTCAGTGTGATAATATGTGCCTTGACGTTTGTCCCTGGCAGTGCAACTCCTGGCACCTGTGGATGAGGGTAAAAGCAGCTGTGCTCTTCAGCCAATGCCCTGCCTCTTGATGAGATGAAGATGCTGTGTCTGATGTGTCGGCTGTCTCACATGCTCCTGCAGGACTGAGCAAATTTTACAATAGGTTAAAGCCTATTGTGTGTCGAGGGTTTGATTGACGATTTTAACCCTGAATTTCAGTGGTGTTGACAGAAGTTGGCTGGGCTTTCCAATTGTTTCAGACTCAGTATGGCCCAAAGTTCTGGGAGGGAGTTAAATTAAAACTGAAGGAGACCGGGGTAACAGAACTGAAGGGAAAGTGGCTCAGAATACAATTAATTTCTTATATTCTATTTAGTTGACTGTCTGTGAAACTGAAACCACTTGGCAGAAAGAGAAATTAGAGCAAGTAAAGCAAGCAGCTTTGTGCCTGTTCTTGAAGTCCACTTGGTACTTGGAAGGATGTTGCATGAAAGTCCACTTGTGATGTGGAAGGACATTGCATTTAATCCTGATAGTACTTCTTTGCAACCCCAAGCAAGCAACACTGGAAATGACTGAGTATCCTGCATCCCTGTCCAATAGAAATGTAATAATGTAGGATGGCTCAGTGGTTGAGCATCTGCCTTTGGCTCAGGGTTCTGGGATCAAATCCTACATCAGGCTCCCCGGAGAGAGCCTGCTTCTCCCTCTGCCTATGTCTCTGCCTCCCTCTCTGTGTCTCTCATGAATAAATAATAAAATCTTTAAAAATTTATATATAAAAGAAATCTAATGTGAACCACAGGTGAAAGCCACCTGTATAATTCTCAGTTTAAATTTTAGCTACATTTTAACAAGTTAAAAGAAACAAGTGAAGTTAATTTTACTATTATATTTTCTTTTTTAACTTACTATGTCCTAAATATGATTTATACATTAGTCAAAGTAACAATTAAAGAGATATTTAAAAAGAATTTTTTTTTATTTATTTATGATAGTCACAGAGAGAGAGAGAGAGAGGCAGAGACACAGGCAGAGGGAAAAGCAGGCTCCATGCACCGGAAGCCCGACGTGGGATTCGATCGCGGGTCTCCAGGATCGCGCCCTGGGCCAAAGGCAGGCGCCAAACTGCTGCGCCACCCAGGGATCCCTTAAAGAGATATTTTACATCCTAAGTCTTTGAAATCAGTATATATTTTTAATACGTCTCAGTTCACACTCTACATTTCTAGTGCTCAATAGCCACATGTGGCTTATGTCTACCATTTTGGATAAAGCAATTATAACAGAAAGAAGCTGGGGCTCTTTACTGTGAAGTCCCAGACAATAACTGGGGAATCTATGCCTTCTAGCATCCTTAGGTTAGTGGACATAGGAATGAAAAACATGAAAACAATGTTGTCTGTGAATGCTAACTTCTAATTTGCTGCAGTTCCTGGCAGGCATGTAATCAGTGACACTTTTGGAGTGGGGAAGGCCTAGGATGGTATGAATCTGCGCTGAGGAACCAGCTGCCTGCTTCTCTCACTGCTGTGAAATTGAACAGCCCTTTGGAAGAAGTAGCTATTTTAAGGGTAGTAGCAAACCTGGGCTGGCCACATGATCAGTAAAAATAAGCCTACCCAAACCACATTCTCTGATTCAACTCTGGTAGACAGGACAATTAGGGGAGTCCCCCAGGGCATGGGTTTCCCATGTGGCTCTCCTTTTGGAAAGGCAGGAGGTTAGGTGCGATTCGCAGGGACACTTTTATAGTTGCCATGCTGGGTTTCACTGATGGGAAAACTATCCGGGCTATTTAGAAGAAAGATCATGGCCAGAGGTAAATCTATTAGCTCTCTTTAGGTAGCTTTTAAGACACAGAATGAATATTAACAGTAGTCCTATGAAAGATTTCCTGGCACATTATTGCCAGCCGAGAGGAAGGAAATCTTGCAGTTCCGGCAGCTGCTTCCCTTAAGGAACCCTGTTAAATCTGCTGCTTTCATCTCAGAAGTTAAATCAATGATGCTGATAGGGAATGGAAACAAAAGGCACTGATATGGACTGCTGAATTTACTCCATCCATTAAGGCATTTGAAACAAAGAGGACTGGCTTGAAGGCCAGGCTCTCCTTGCCCAGTCCTGAATTTGGTATCAGTGGATGGTACCTCCTTCGGCTCAATGCATATTTGGAAAGGACGTGACACATGATGAAGTATCTTGTCATTTCTGGATTGAACTTGATCTTGGCTGTCATTTCTTACCCTAGTTGTAATTGGATGGAT